TCCCCATATAGAGATTGTAATATTGCTACTCCCCCCCCAAATAAATTGCTATATAGAAATGCTGTGCTCTTTATCTAATATCTTTTTAATCTTACTGCCTAAATGAAAAGGGTACGTTATATTAAGGCACAATTTTCTAATGAGGAAATTGATGGGCAAAATAACTCAATGGCTTACCCAGAGTCAAACAGCTCTTAAGTAGAAGTGCTGACGTTGATCCCAGTTTGTCTGTTGAAGATTCTGATGCTTTCTAAGTTCTGGTTAAGGAGGAAAATTTGGGAGTTGTCAGCATAGAACAGATGGCAAAGCCATATGACACATCAGTTTGGGAGAAAATAGAAGTCTATAAAGGCAAGATGGTCCAAGGACAAAACAATTGAGAAAGTAGTTGTGCCACTTCCACTATCTTGACTATAAGCATCTTCGGTTCTGATGGTATTTTCAGCATACTTATTCTCCAGCATTACTTCAGTCTCATCCAGACTGTCACTTTTTACTCCCATTGTTACCATGTGTGTCCTCATTTCACCTATTAGCCGTAGTCATTTTTTATCCTTCCATTGCCTCTTCCTCCCTTGGCAGAACCCCAACTCTGTTAAAACCAGCTACTCATCTATTTCCTGTCAGAATCTGACCAGCTAAATATTGCCAAGGAAAAAAATACACTTAGGTTAATTGTTCTTATTTTAAATTCAAAACCACAGACCTCAAATAGGAACTCAGTAATGCTCAGCAATCCTGCTATATGAGAGGGTTTCAAACAGTTTGAGTAATCCCATTGTGTTTTCCTTCTGTTTTTCCATGAACTTTCCAAAATAATTGCTTTATTCTTCTATTTTCTCAAATCTACATCCCTCACCCTTTTTTACTTTCTGCCCTTAGGTAAACTAACTTCTTATTTAATGGCAGAATATAAGCGGTTGGAACAACTAGAACATAAATTTCTTCACCAACATATTCTCTAGCTTCTGCATTTCTTCTTACATGCTCTGAGCCTTCCCATCACAAGTTCTGACTTCTGTCAAAGATGGCATCTCCCCTTATGCTTTGGATCCCGTTGCCTTATTCACTTAGGGACTTTGTTAGGCGCAGCTATTAAGCCCAGTGCCATTGAGTGATGCTGTAGGACAGTAGAACTGCTCAATAGGATTTCTGAGGCGGTACATCTGTACAGAAGCAGACTAGCTCATCGTTCTCCTTTAGAATGGCTGGTGGTTTCTAACTGCCAACTTTCCATTAGTTGCTTACCGCTTAACCCACTGTACAACCAGCACTCCTTCTATGATTCCTACCTGCTTCTTTCTCCCATCATCATTAACTCCCTTCTTAGGGTACTTAGGGTATTATTTCCATCTGCATTCTTAACTATGTTCTCATTTTCTTTTTAATGCTATCCTTTTGCAGTAAACCTTAAAGGAATTGTCAGTATTCTCGTGTCTGCCTCTTCAGCTCCTATTGATGCTCAGTCTCTAATGAGTTTCCATTGCTAGAATTCTACTAAAACCCTTTCAGTGGCAGATTACAGTGACTGCAGTAAAATTCCATAGTCATGCAATCAAACTCCATGCAATCAGATACCAAGGTCACTTCTCTACCCTCACCAAATCCAATCCTTGATCACTATATGCCATATTTGGTTACTGTCTCCCTCTTGAAGAAGTTCTTCTCTTGGTTTCAGTGTTGTGTTTCGTATATGTTTGTTTGTTTTTACGTTCTACAGCATAGGCCATCTCCTCTTCAGTTTCATTTACTGGTTCTTCTCTTCCTCTGCTTGATTGCACCGTACTGCGAAGTCCCAGACCTTGGTCCTGGAATAACTTCTCTTCTCCACCTTTCCTGCCTATGCAAATCTCACAGCTGTAAATGCCAGGCTCTTATGCCAATGACGCTCAGACTCTGCCTTGCTAGCTTTTTCTGCAGAAAATAAAATTAGTACCACAAAGTTAACATTGCAAGAGCAGAGTTCTTGATTTCTTTCCACCATTTGTGAAACGTGCTTCTCACCTGCCCTTCCCGTGTTAGCAAGTGGTACCACTAACCACTGAGTTACTCAAAACCCTTTTTAAATTAAGAAAATATTTTAACCTTTATGTGGAAGCAACTGCAAAGGAAATCTAGATTGCCTTTAAATTGGCTTCTAATGGGGAAAGCCTGTGGAAGAATACTCCCTTTAAATAACATGTGCAGTTTTATATCATGAGTTTTGACTCTCACTCAGTTTCAAATGGGTTAAACTTTTAAAAAATTAAATCACTGCTCTAAAAGTAGATGCCAATCCAAAGATATGATTCTTCATGCTTTCTCTGAGCATCTAGGTATATGTGCTTTTAAGTATGTATTTGTAGGCGGGAAAAGTATGTATTTGTAGGAGGGAAACCCCAAAACAGATAAGAGCATTATCTTCTTGGTGCTGAAGTTTGCTTTTGTTTGCTCATGAAAAGTTTTATGACTCAAAAAATTGAAGTAATACACACATGAGCCCACAAGTTTGCATTGCTTTACATCAACAATATGTTCTGTGAAATAATACACTATGTGATTTGGACATTATTTGAACAGGTGTGCACAGGGTGTGAGGTCCCAGGTCCCCTGCCAGGAGCTCTTGTGTGGTCCCTGCCCAGGCAGCTCTTAATACAGGAGCCTCAAGTGAGCCCTTGACCAAGTCTCATCCAGCAGTCTTGTCTTCTCTACTAAGCCAGCTTGTGAGCCAGGTGCATCGGCTGGCCAGAAGTTAGGGTCCAATCTCAAGACAAGGTTCTGGTGCCCTGCCACATGACTTTTTAAGAAAAAAACGAACCCACAAAGAAATTTCAGGCATGTTGTCTATCACTTGAACCTCTTACCAGGAATACCTCAGAGGTGAACTTTCAGTCCTTGGAGCCGGTAGGAACAATTAGGAGGGAAAATTTTAGCAGTTATGCTTCCTGGTCTTAGTGCTTTTTTGGTTCTTGTTTTATCAATCCTTTCAAACCAGTTGAATATAATAAACAAATTAGTTTACAGAACATTTTGTCTCGGAAGAGGAAGTCAAAATTTATTCTGGATTATCTTCTTCGTTTAATTTTCTTATATTTGTCTTTATAATCTAGGGAGCTCCAAAATGTTTGGACAAGGACTTTGCAGTGAGACTCAAGTGAATACCTACCATTCCATGATTTCTTTGAATTCATTCATTTAAATGAATGAATAACCATGATATCCTGAGGCACCAGCACCAACAGGCAAACTTTTCTCTCAGGAAAGTAGTTTATAGTAATCAAGAAAAATAATAAAAATGACTCAAGCGTTTAGGAGCCCTGGTGGCATAGCGGGTTACTCGTTGGACTGCAAACCACAAAGTCAGCAGTTTAAGTCCACCAGCTGCTCCACAGGAGAAAGATGAGGCTTTCTACTCCCATACCGAGTTATGAGTCTTGAAAACCCCACAGGCGGTTCTGCCCTGTCCTATAGGATCACTATGAGTTGGAATCAACTCAATGGAGTGAATTTTTTTAAAATAAATCATTTTATTGAAGCTCTTACAGCTCTTATAACAATCCATACATCAATTGTATCAAAGCACATTTGTACATGTTTCCATCATCATATCCAAAACATTTTTTTCTGCTTGAGCCCTTGATATCAGTTCCTCTTTTTCCCCCTCCCTACCCCTCCCTCCTAGCCTACGAATCCTTGATAATTTAAAAATTATTTTTATTTTCATATTTTACACCGTCCACCATTTCTAAGTTCTTTTGAGTCTCACAGTGGAAGTACCATATAAATCAAGTCAAAACAAGCCTTTCTATGCTTTTATTGTCCCTCAACTTGTGCTAATAGACAAGTTCCCCCAATGAATTGAGTGTTAGATACTGTCTTAATAAAAACAAAGCAAGCTCACTGCCATCAATTCGATTCTGGCTCTTAGTGAACCTAAAGGATAGGTAGTACTGTTCCTGTGGGTTTCCGAGACTTAACTCTTTACAGTAGTAGGAAGCCTTATGGGTCTCTTGGGGAGCAGCTGGTGGGTTTGAACTGCTTACCTTGTATTTAGCAGCTCAACTGGTAACCACTACACCGCCAGAGCTCCTAAGCCTTAATAGTTCAACACACTTTTATTGACTAGGATTTACCAATCTCTTTTCTAGAAAGCAGGGTCTTAAGAATGAACGAAAGAAACTCTTGCTGTCCTGCAGCTTCCAATCTAATAAAGAAGTCAATAAATACTTCAACAAACAGGTAGTATCAAGTGCTGTGAGTGTTATAAAGAAAGCCAAAACTACATGTCATTTCTGTTTGCCCCTTGAAAAAATAACTCTACAAAGTTGAAACACTCCCTTAATCCTGAGCAACTGCCTACTTTCTTCATATCTTGGTTTCTTTATTTGTAATATATATATGTGTGTGTGTGTGTGTGTGCCCCTTGTTTATCTTAAACAGAATTTGTTAAAGGAAAGGGGAGAAAGGAATATTTTATATATGAAAGCCATTGCGAAATGCAAAATTCTGGATAAGATAGTATTTATACTTGCGGATTTGTGTACTTGATATTTGTCAGATGTTCTGGCAGCCTTGTTGGGTGTTTAGATTATTAAGAGTATGGCTCATGCCCTTTGGGGCTGGGTTAGTCATACTTCTTAGGTTTGGGGAAATTTCTAGTAAGAAGTCAATGTTAAATGTTTGGTTACTCTTTTATAGTAGAATGAATTCCAAGCTTCAGACATCAGATGGGTAATTGGGTAAGAAGGATTTTGAAGAACATAAGCCTGATGGTTTATATTTCTAAAGTAGAATATCTTGAAGAAATTGAGAAAAATCATACCAAACTTAGGGGAACAAAAAGCTCCCCCCTCCCCATGCCTATGATTGTGACTAGGTATAAAAGAATTTCAGAACCTATATTCTCTTAGAAATTACCTACTCTGCTGTACTCCAAATGAGTAGTATATTTGCTCTAAACTTTATTGGGTTTCTAGCCATGACTTTTGCCCTGTACTAAAAGTAATGTTTCTTTTTTCAAGGTACGTCAGCCTGTCATTTGCATCAACAACCATGTATTTTGTTCAATTTGTATTGATTTGTGGTTGAAGAATAATAGCCAATGCCCAGCTTGCAGAGTCCCCATCACTCCTGAAAATCCTTGCAAAGAGATTATCGGTAAGGGCCTGTTTTATATACACGCAGAAACAGACTTGAAACAATTTCCAAATAATTTATATCTTGTGGAAGACCTAAATAGACAGTTTTCAGTGGTTATCAGGTGAGTGGATTAATAATTTGCATACGAATATCTGGAGCAACTGATTGATACTGTGCACTATGAAAGTTACTAAGAGAAATCAACTTTAAAGCTTGACGGTTTCCATTCTGGAAGCAACTGTGTATGTGTACCAAAATTTTAAAGGCTTAAAGGATTCTATTAAAAGCCCAATAAAGCAGCCCCGGGAGTTTAGGCCAGGAAGTTCACGTAGGAACTCTTAAGAAAGCCTTTTTGAAGTAGCTATCCTTTAAGTTAAAAAATTCCAACTGATAATGATTGGAGAGAGCATTTTATGCAGAAGAAATTGTATGAACTAAGGTTTAGAAGTAGGAAACACAGGGCCCATTTTTGTAAATGGGTGGCCTGGTTTAGATCTGACTACTGAAATGAGACTGAAAAGGTAAAATAAGACATCAGTGCAGAGAACTGTGAGTGACTGACTAATTGAAGGACTTGCCCTTTAGGTGGGAACAAGGGTGAGTTTGATATGATAGTTTTGAGCAAGAGAGTGGAAAGACCCAAATTCAAATGCATCAAGTTTTCTTTTGCTTTCCTTATTCAGTGTCCAACTTTCACATACATATAAGATGATGGAAAATACTATGGCTTGGCGCACCTTAGTACTCAAAGTAACATCCTTGCTTTTTGACACTTTAAGGAGGTCTTTTGTAGTAGATTGACCCAAAGCAATGTGTTACTTGATCTCTGGACTGCTGCTTCCAAGAGCAAGGTAAAATCCTCAACAACTTCAAACCTTTCTCTCTTCATGATATTACCTATTGGTCCAGTTGTGAAGGCTGCAATCCATGATTCCTAAATTATGGTGCTGTTGAAGAATTTTGACTGCCAAAACAACAAATAAATCTGTCTTGGAAGAAGTACAGCCAGAATGTTCCTTAGAGGCAAGGATTGTGAGACTTCTCCTCATTTACCTTGTACATGTTGTCAGGAGAGACCAGTCTCTGGAGAAGGACATCATACTTGATAAAGTAGAGGGGCAGCAAAAAGGATGAAGGCTTTTGGTGAGATAGATTGACATAGTGGCTACAACAATGGGCTTAAACATAAGAACATATTTTTTTCTTAAGTATTTGGGATTTAATACAGATAACATCAGTCAGTATTTCATTCACATCAAGTAGAATTGTACAATTGCTACCACAATCAGTTTCCAACCATTCTTTTTCTACATGAATGTCTTAACATCTTCTCCCTTTTAACCTCCCACCACCACTGTCCCAGCCTGCCCCCAAACCCCTTATTCTACTTGCTTTCCCTGTAGGTTCATCAATCCTGGGTTTCCTATACCGAAAAATGGAAAAGCATGTAACACAGCTTCAAAAGGGTAATGACCGCCGTTGATGTGTAATACCTTTGAGATACACTCTAATATGAGTGAACAAAAACCAAACCAAAAATACAGAAAATTTTGGAAACCAAATCAGGTCCAATCTGCATCATAGGGGAAATCTACTGACAAAGATTTAACTGAATGCTCAGGTCAGATTTATACCTTTGATCTTCTATGCTCCTCTCTCCCAAACACTGTTTAGTGACCACTTTCCTCCCATCCCTCAATTAAAGATAAGGGGAGTTCTCTGGAGACTTATTTTCTATGTAGTTCCACAAATGAATCTTGAACTCCCACTGGCATCCATCACCTTCTGCACACCTCTCACAATTTAGGCTCCGATACTGATCCCTCCTTTGACATTGTATTATATGGATTCCAATCCTCCAGTGATTGATTATGGTGTGCTTCTTCCATGTGGATTTAGTTGACATCTATCTTAGATGGCTGCTGGTTTGGAGAGCAGCCTTTAAGACCCCAGATGCTATTTTATCTGATAGCTGGGCACCATCAGATTCTTTTGCTATACATCTATATCTTCTGTGTTCCCTTCCTGAGGATGAGTATGGAACAGAGATGTGATGTAACAACTTAATTTTCTTAAGTTGGAGCTAGGATTTAGTGTGAGTCCCAAACCCATTCCTGGATCTATGCTTTTTTGTTGTTGTTGTTGTTTTCAATTTTCTGTAACTTTGGAGTTAATACATATGAGGGGGTACCCCCGCACCCCCCCAAATGTTCCGCTTTTCTTCCTGCTAAGGCGAGCATTAAGCAACTCGCTCTGAGTTAGTGCACCCACTGGCGTTGCCAGGAAAGGTTCTGTCTGGTCACAGTGAATTTTTTTGTGAAAGCAGTTTCACTCAAACCTCGGTTTTTTTTGTGATAGCCGATTTAAGAGAATAGCGTGCGGCTGTGAAATTTTGTTTCATGCTCAGGAAAAATGCCGCAGAAATTGATGTGATGTTGAACACAGCTTACAAGGACAGTGCTATGGGAAAAACTCAAGTATGCGAGTGTTTTTTTCCGTTTCAAAAAAGATGGGATGTTGATTGATGACAAGCCTCGTTCTGGATGTCTGTCAGAAAATGTCAACTTGTAGTGCATTTGGAGTTCATTCCACTAGGTCAGACTGTTAATCAAGCTTTCTATTTAAAGCAGTGGTTCTCAACCTTCCTAATGCCATGACCCTTTAATACAGTTCCTCATGTTGTGGTGGGCCCCAACCATAAAATTATTTTCATTGACTTCAAAGGGGTCACGACCCACAGGTTGAGAAACACTGATTTAAAGGTTCTGAAAAGATTGCATAACTGTGTGCAACTAAAAAGGCCTGATTTGTGGCAGACGATGGAGGACTGGTTTTGCCAAGACAAAGCACCTGCTCATGCAGCCATCTCAGTGAGCCAGTTTTTGTTAAAGAACAACATGGCTCTCTTGCCCCATGTACCTGACTCACCTTACCTCACTACTTCTGACTTATTTTTGTCCCACAAATGCAAAGGGACATGAAGGGATAACAATTTGATGATGTAGAGGAGGTGAAGAAAAAAAATGAGGCAGGTGCTGTCAGCCATCCAAACAGATAAGTTTGAAAATGTTTCCAAGAATGGAATTGCAGATTTGACAAATGTATTAGGTGTAATGTAGAGTACTTAGAAGGTGATAAGGTTGTTTTATAAAAATAAAAAAAATTAAATACATAACTTTGAAATAAATTCCGGGTGTTTTGGGGTACTACCCCCCCCACACACCCCCATATATCATATCATTCCATAGTTCAGTCATGTCAAACATAATTGTGTAATTGCTTCCATAATCAGTCTCCCAACATACTTTTCTTTCCTGGACCCCTTGACCTTATTCCCCACCCCTCGCGTTCCCCCTCCACCTTGTTCGGTTTGCTTTCCCTGTATGCTCAACATCCCTAGGTTTCATTGGCTGACAAAGAAAAAAACAAATAACACAACTTTAAGAGGATTACTCCCACTGGCAATGCACCTCTGAGATGCACCCTAATATGAACAAGCATACGTAAAATAACACAGAATGCCCACCACAAGACTATAATAATACGTATCTTAATATAGCATGTAGGGTGTTGATGTAGCAAGACCTAGTTTTTTCTCCAACCAACAGTACACCACTTTTGGTACAGCTCTCTTCTGTTTCCTCAGACACCATGTATTTTCCAACGTACCATATATACGCGTGTATAAACTGAGTTTTTTAGCACATTTTTTGTGCAGTCTTTGTGGTAAAATTAGGTGCCTCAGTGGATATTCAGGTTGGCTTATACTCAAGTATATCTGGTGAGTCTTCAGGTTCCAAGTTTGTCTGAGGTACATTCCAGTTTGCCAGTGGAGTTCCCATGTGGCGTCTCACCGATGCAGCCTCTGGGGCATGCTGTGCATCTTGAAGATCCAGGATTCAGTATCCGAGTGTCATACAATTTTTAGGATGGCACCAGACAGGGCAGTGTTGTTCACAGGGTTGCTATGAGTCAGAACTGACATAATAGCACCTAACAGCAATAGTGATATATAAGCTGGATTGTAGGGGAGAGAAAAAATGTGAGGAGGTGAATTAGAGTCTGGATAAAAGCTAATAGTAAAAGCTAATAGCACATTAATGTGTACAAAACAAATAAAACTTGAGAATCCTTGAAAGAAACATTTAAAGCATTTCAAGCTACAGTCGTTAGTTATTCAAAAATGCAAATCAGCGCAACAATGAGATACCACTTCACCCCATGACTGATAACAAATTTTGAGGGGAAAAAAATGCTGGTGGGGGTACAGAGAGATTGGAACTCTCATATACTGATGATCTAACTAAAAGAGTACAGCCACTGTGGGTTGGCACATCATCAAAAAATTAGGGTTAGAAATACCACGTGACCCAGTATATATCCTAAAGCAGTAAAAGCTATATCATGACTAGATATATGCACATCTATGTTTATTGCAGCACTATTCACAATAACAAAAAGATGAAAACAACGTAAATGTCCATTGGTAGAAGAATGCATAAGCTTTGGTACATACACGTGATAGAATACATGACAGAGTTAAAGGATGACCATCTGGGCAGCACATCGTAACATGGATGAACTTGTAAGAACATCATGCTGAGTGTAGTTAGCCAAGCGAATAAGGTCAAATAGTGTATGTGTTCACTGCTACCAAAATCAAAGTATTAAATAATCAAGAAAAGGTTTTCACACTAAAGGAAACAGACTTTGATGGTTACCCAGGAATGGCAAGGCAAGGGGAGTCACATTCTAGAGCAGAAGTGGGCAAACTGGCTGTAAAGTAAAATTGAAAATGTTTAAAGGATATTATTCAGTTAATAGTTCATTTGTTTGTAAAACTATATCGCTCAAATCGTTTATAAAATTGTTGAGAACGTCATGATTGGCTCTTCAGTCTCAAAAGAATGCCGACCCTTTGTCTGGAGGGTAGACAGGCATTAACTTGGATGAAGAAGAAGAAAGTATTCAATATGAGGGAGATGGCTAAAAAATGATGGAAACAGACAGAGGTTTGGTGAGTTGTTGAATATAAAACTGATTGCCTTTTAAATCCTCACATAACTCACAAGAAAAAGTTAAATAAATAAAGAGCATTTTCAGTATATATATATAATTTTCTCTTGGGTTGCAAAAACTAAAATGATTTTTATGTGTTTTTGTGTTAAGAGAGAATGATCCTGAGTCTGTTACTAGCCATGTAGAGCGACTGTTCAGAAACCATAAGCCATTTGTAGTAGTCTCTAATTAAGGATAAAGGACATAAATATGATTTTTACGTAAAGGGAGAAGATAGATGCTAGAAGCAAAAGAACTTCCAGGACTTTGGAACTAAGATTTTCAAGGATATAATGCAAGGTAGCTCCAACTTCTCTTTCTTGGGCACCTGGGTGAAGTCAACGAGGAGAATTCTCTGCTGTGCTGCTTGCTACAGAATTTGTTAGGATTTCCACCTGTACTGAAATTCACCAATGATTCATCCCTTTTTTTTTTCTTCAGGATATTAGCTTCGATGATTAAAATAATTTAATTGCCACTCCCCTCACCTTCAATTCTTGTGGGTTTCTTTTTCATACCTTCATTCAGTCACCCATAAGTGACATTTCATAAATTCTCACAAGTAGAATAGTTTATTTATCCTTGTATTTGGATATAAGATCCTGTTAAAGAACATGTATAGAGTGCCTTTGCAATCATGATGCTGAGAAATACAAGGAAAAGTAGGGTAACACAACACAAATGAAGAACTATGAAGGAAATGTTCATTTTGAGGGTATTTATAACAAGTGCTATAAATTGTATAAAGTGTACAATTAATGCTGTGACTTAATCCTTGTTACTGGATTTGTCAGAATCAGTAAGAAGATTATCAATCTTTTCAGTTGTGTTACCAGTAGCCAGTCATGTTTGAATAGTTAATTGGGCTTATCATTATTTAACCATTGTCTAATATTTAGAGTGCACTAGTCCAAAATAAAGCCTTTGTCTTCATGGGCTGTACTGTAATGAAATACATAGGTAAGTAAACACATGATATTGTACTGAAGGTATTTCTTTTAAAATGTTGTTTAATATTTATTTTTTCTATACACTGGGATAGAGACAATGTCTACATGGCAGCCTGGGGTGTGTATATAAGGAAAAAGGTAGAATTATATAAAACAAGAAGTAAAGAGTTCATTTTCATTTTGCCTAAGTCAAAATGAAAAATTAGTGCTTCTTATTAATTTTTTTTGTAGGAGGAACGAGTGAAAGTGAACCTATGCTAAGTCATGCAGTAAGAAAACACCTTCGAAAAACTAGACTTGAGTTACTCCACAAAGAATATGAGGTAACTAATAACTAGGCTTAAAATGATAGCAGCATTTAATTCAAGGTAAAAGTGAAGTACCTCTGTCCTCAAACTTCTTAAACATCCTTTGAAATACTATTTTAAATGACAGTTCTTAAAAAATTACTTGATATGTTATTTTTCTTTTCCCTTCCCCTCTTTCAAATAGAGGAAAGGACCCTCCCCACCTTTTAAATATTAAGAGTGAAAGGATTGAGGATAACAAGGAACAAGTAGAAGCATTTCCTTTTTTTAAATTTAAGTTTATATCTCAACAGATGATTTTGGAAGTGTTTGTTCCCTTGAGAAGTTAAGAGATAAAGGAAACCTTTTGTGAGAATCAGTCTTTGTCTCCCACAAGTCATTATGAGTGCACTGGTAAACAGTGATTAAAACTCCTTCTCTTCTGTTTTTGTTAATTCTCTGAAGATTGTATACCTAATCAAATATCTTTGGAATAGTAAATATATCTTAAGTCAACTACCAGCAAATAAATTTTCATATGAAATGATATGCTGCTATTTAATTCTTATCTAAAAGTTAGTGAATGAACAGATTAATTTGGCATGGTGATAAAAGTTTTTCCTAATTATTTTATGCTGATTAAGTATGTGTGCTTTTGTATAGTTGCTGTGTTGTCATTTTATGCTAAGAAGAATTAACTTGAAATGTGTATATACTCTTAAAAAAAGAAAATTGTACAACTTGTGTTGATTCTATAATATATCCTTATATACTTAAAGGAATATTTATCATACTTAAGTCCTAATCAAATCCTCTCAAGAAATCATTGGCATATTGAGCTACTTGAGTTTCAAACCCACCTCATTGAGTCAATTCTGAATCATAATGATCCTGTGGGACAGAGGAGAACTGCCTCATAGGATTTCCCAGTCTGTAAATCTTTATAGAAGCAGACAGCCACATGTTTATTATACAGACTATCTGATGAGTTTGAACCACCAACCTTTTGGTTAGCCTAGCACTTTAACCACTGTGCCATGAAGACTCCTATTTTGGGACAGCCGATTAGATTTTTAATAACACAATTTCTAACAGCCTTGGTTTAGTGAAATATCCATTATAGTGGAATGAATGGTATTACAGACAAGGCCTCTACTACAAATTTCTATTGATTAGGTTTAAAGTAACAAATAGTCCCGTAGGAGGAAGGCTAACATTTAAAATCATCATGGTGGTCATTGGAGAATCATAGTCCAGGAAGTTAAAAATTAAAAACTAGATATGGTATTTTTCTGAAATTAAATGTGGAAGGAAATGTTACCAGAGTCCACTCTGACTTCAAGTATAAGGTCACTTGTCAGAATCTACTCAATGGCTGTGGACTTGGTTTGGTCAACTATGAAGGAAAATTGAAACATTCAACACAATATTAATAGATAGCAAGTGATTCATTCCCCTCAGTAAAGCAGTTACTTGTACCTCAGATTCCTCTCATGAAATGGAAGCGACTTTTCTGTTGGAATTTAAGCAACTTTTTTTGTTTTCTGAATGATATTTTAAATAGAATCAAAGATTTGGCATTTTCAGGTTCTTAAACCACGAACTGTCATTCAATTATACAGAAATCAGAAATGCCCATTTTTGTAAGAATCAATACATTTGAAGAATTCCAACCATATGTGACTTTCTGTCTACGTAAATAATCTGATCTATAGATCTATGCATGCGCAAAATTTTGAGTATAAAATTAAAGCACATTGGCTTCCATTTAGCATACTTGATGTGGTTAGTGTATAATGCTATGCCATCCTTTTTCAGGATGAAATAGAGTGTCTACAGAAAGAGGTAGAAGAGCTTAAGAGTAAGAATCTCAGCTTCGAGTCACAGATCAAGACTATTCTGGATCCTGTAACTGTGGTGCAGGGCAGCCAGAATGAAGACAAACATCCAGTTGCAGATAATCCAAGTAAAATTGATTCTGAAACTGTTGCAGAGTGGAAGAAAAAACTGAGAACAGCTAATGAAATCTATGAAAAAGTGAAAGATGACGTAGATAAACTAAAGGAAGTAAGTATTTTTTTAATTTTATGTCATTTTTAAATTCTGTAATATAATAAAGAATGTTCAAAAGTGTTTACTGATCATTAGACAATTTGCAGGAAGGACAAAACCATAAATGAGCATCTATATGCAATAGAATAATCCTTTTCTCCTTAAATGTCATTAACTGCCAAGAAATACCAAGTGATTTTGTGAGTGTAATTGGAGACTATGGTGGTTCTGTGTGAGTTTGTGTCTTTTTCTAGGGGAATGCTGTCAATTTAAAGGATCTGTATCTATTTTCTTTTTGTGGTTTGCTGTAATTTTTTTTAAGCTTATATCAGTGACAACCCTTTAAGCATAAACCTAGACATACCCATTTCTCTGTAAAATGAGTGGAACCACCTTTTTTTTTAATGCACTACCATTCTTTGAGTTTTAAGATTATGTAGCTATGCCTTAATTACTAAGAACAAGAAAGCTAAGCTGTGAGCAGCCACATTAGACTACTCCATACATAAAAAAGAATACTATGATTTATAAGACTGGTTCATCTTTTAAATTATTTTTTCATCCACCTAACAAAATAAGAGTGACAAGGGCAAGCTTTTGTTTTTCTGCAGTATGGAAAAGAGAATTGCATCTCTTCCCTCAGCACTGGAAGCCACAGTCAGGTGCTGTTTACTCTGTTGACCGAAGGGATCAGCAAAAATTTGGCTTCAGCTTTATACAGAGTGGACTCTTATTATGCTAAATGGAAATGTTTTTGTTGTGCCCAGATTACACTAAACGTATTTATCAAGCCACAACCAAACCTAATGCAGTCAAGACAATGCTCACTCATAGCAACCTTATATGGCAGAGTCCAACTGCTCTCTAGAGTTTTTGAGACTGAATCTTTATGGGAGTAGACAGCCTCATCTTTCTCCCTCAGTGCAGTTGGTTGGTGGTTTTGAACCACTAACCTTGCACTCAGCAGCTCACTGTTTCTGAGGCTGTAAATCATCATAGGAGTATTCTTTCTCCTATGGAGTGACTGGTGGGTTCAAACTACCAACCTCGTGGTTAGCAATTCAGCGTGGAACCCAGTACGGCACCAGGGATGCTAATCTGTTAACAAACCCTTAAAAAATATTGTTGCTATGTTAAATTACTAAATCCTATATCAATGAGCTTCATATAGTATTTAAAGAAGTACCATTGCATGCTATCTCACAGACCCTCAATTAGCTTAAATGGCAGTATCTTCAACTTAACGTACATACTAAACCATCTCTACTCATCTGCTTGTAAAGTAAATGCTGTGTGTACTTAGAGAAGGACAAGATAAAAATAAGGAGGGATCTTAATTCTTTCAGATTAATGAAACTATAGGCACTGCTATACTGAATTTGTTATATGTGTAGGGGAAATGTAGATTAGGTATTGATGACCAGCATTGACATGTTGATTTGTATAAGAAAACACAAAATGATAGTTGGGAGGTTATAGTATTTATCAAACTACCATGTTCTCTTAAATTTCCTGCCCCTACTTGAACCATCAATAAACTCTATAAGCTATATGATCTCCTTATCGTTATTAAGCTTTCTTGGCATCTTCAGCAATAAATGTGTATGTTCTAAAGCATAGGGAGCCTTCATGGTATAGTGATTAAGTGCTTGACTGCTAAAGGTTGGCAGTTCCAACCCACCTGCCACTCTATAGGAAAACTATATAGTAATCTTTACAACTTTGGAAACCTCCGGAGCAGTTCTGCTGTGTCTTACAGGATCTCTTCAAGTCAGCATCAACTTAATGACAGTGGATTTGGTTTTATTTAGAGCATGAGACTTGATTTGAAAAGTTTACTCTGAATTTATAGGAGTGATGTGAGGTGCGTAACTAGGGAGCAAAAGACATGGAAGTGTAAATATAGGCACGTACATAAGTAAATATATTTATATATAACAATAGGGATAAAGGTCTATGTACATATATTTGTATGTTAAGTATTAAGGTAGCAGGCAGACATTGGGCCTCTACTCCAAATCCTCCCTCAATGCAAGAACACTTTGTTCTAATAACCTGGCATTCTGTCATGCTTACTACCTTGCTGACACAATCACTAAAGATAAAATGGGTGCATAAGCAAATGTGGTGAAGAAAGCTGATGGTGCCTGGTTATTAAAAGATATAGCATCTGGGGCCTTAAAGGCATGAAGATAAACAAGCGGCCATCTAGCTGGGAAGCAACAAAGCCCATGTAGAAGAAGCATACCAGCCTATGTGATCACGAGGTGTCGACAGGATTGGTATCAGGCATTAGAAGACCCAAAACAAATAATCATCAATGCAAACAAGGAGGGCAAGAGTGGAAACCACAAACCCATCTGTAGACAATTGGACATCCCCTCCCAGAAGGGTCAAAAGGAAGGGACAAGCCAGCTGGGGTGCAGCATAGCACTGACGAAACATACAACATTCCTCTATACTTTAATGTTTCCTTCCCCCAACTATCATGACCCCAATTCTACCTTACAGATCTGACTAGACCAAAGCACGTACATTTGTACAGATAAGAGCTCTTGACACACAGAATCCAGGACAAATAATGAGAGTAGTGATACTGCGAGGTTAGGGGGAAGGTGAGGGGAGGAAGGGAGAACTGATTGCAATGATCAGTATAAACTCCCCCTCTCCAGGGTGATTAACAACAGAAACGTGGGTGAAGGGAGACAGCAGATGCCGTAAGATATGAAAATAATGATTTATAATCTATCAAGGGTTCATGAGAATGGGAAGGTGGGGGAGGGAGGTTAAAAAAAAAAAAGCTGATACCAAGGGGTCAAGTTGAAAGATAATATTTTGAAAAGGATGAGGGCAGCATATGTACAAATGTGCTTGAAACAATGGATGTATAGATTGTTAAATGAGCTGTAATCAATAAAATACTTTATTAAAAATTTTTAAATGTATATTACACTCAGTTTTTCTTTTCTCTTTTAATATTCACGTTAAATTCACTACCCAAAACTACCCTTCTCACTGTCATTTGTTTGATGCCAATTCATAGGACAGAGTGGAACTGCTCCGTAGGGTTTCCCAGGCTATACGTATTTATGGGAGGAGACAGCCTTATCTTCTACCTGGGGAGTAGAACTCAGGAGTATTTGGACTTTTAATAAGTCTGTTTGGAATCCTAGTGATCGTTTTAGGTACTAGCTATGAATTGAGCTTAAGTAAATTTTAAAATATGGGCCTCAGAGACAAAAACTCAAGTGAAGTACAAAATAATAGCATACTAAAAATAAAACAAGTGCAAACGATTCATACAAAAGGACTAAGAATATTTGCAATTGGTTTTGTTGTTATTGATGATGTTTTTGGACAAGCTGAGTTTTAAAGCCCAGAGTCGGTGTTGAGTATGCAGAATAGTTGTCTGAAGTCTGTCTTCATAACTTCAATTTACCTAAGATTTCTGAACTTGAAAGTAATCACTTGGTTGAGAACTAGCCAGCCTGTGATGTGAAACATTAGATAGCCATAGTGAGAGACCTTGAAATACGGGAATGCAGGGCGGGATATGGGGAAAAGAGGTCAAATGAATTTTCTAGTTGAAGCTTCTCATCGTCATCAAAACGTACTCACCAAGGGCCTCTTCTTAACGGTGCTGTGCTTGATGGCTTAAGTCACTGTATGAGGAAGTAAATGGCTCTTGTTATATCTTCAGAGAGAACCATCCACCATCTTAGTTTGTGAGCAATACTAAAAATATATAGGTGCTCCAAACTCAAAAGAAACCTGGGAAAATCTAAGACTTTATATCCAAAAGGTTACATGCTGCTATTGCTTCTCTTATAATCATCATGAAGCATCTGTGTGTGGATGAGCAAGTAATACAGTGAGGTCTGGAAATTAATTAAAAATATTGGTCAAACTTTTAAAATCTGCTGTTAAGCTTCTTGGTTTTAACATTTTCGTTGACAGCCGTAGTGACCCACTCACTTTGAATGTAAATGTTCCATCAAAAAAGCATGTCTTGCCACACTACTGAGGCTGAATTCTAGTCTTAGAAATCATATTTTTCTTTGGTATTTACAAATGCAATAACGGGGATTTAAAAGAAATCATTTTTAAGAAGACTCTGAAACTTAAGTGTACTGCTTCCAAGCTGGCCAGAATCAATAATGTGCTTCTAAGTTTTCTAAGAGGTATTGTTTTGTTAGGGTGCCTTTAGTCTGCATAAAATTCAAGAAAGAAAATACCAAATTTGATGTTTTGTGTTTTGTTTTAACCAAATGAGAGCCCATGGAATTGATTAGAAAACATTGAGCCAATTTTTGGGGTCCCAGAAGTTGCAAGCCAAGGGTATTGGGAAAGCCATTTTGAAGAAAGAAAAATGATTTAAGCATGTATTAACTCATTAGAAAAATATTTCTAATGAAATATTTTTTTTCCTTTTTCCCCTTCGTTTAAATTTTGTTTGTCAGTGACTTTTTTGTTGTGGGCTTGTAAGTACTGCAGCCGTCGTCGCCAGGCTCTTATGAGCCGCTCTGGCGCAGTGCTGTCAAAGCCAATCCCAATTTTATTCACACATTGTAATTT